GCCAGTGCACAGGTCATGGGTAACGTACTCACAGAGATGGCATCTGACTGGGAAGACTGGACGAACATGGTCTCAGGAAAGTCCACCGATGGACACCGCGCTGTCTCAAGACGGAGAACGACCGAGAAGTTGAGAAGCCAAATGAGCTTCACTAACTGAGCGTATACATAAGACACACGAGAGCTGGAGCTTTGCTTGCCTGGATAACGACATTGTAATTCGACGATTTGCGACGGCCTGGATCTCTTCGCGATCTTTTGAAACAAGCGTGTGCTTTTTCTTTCTTTGTTATCTGGCGAGAACACGACCTGAAATACCCCATACTAATTACCCGTTGTTTTGTACGTTGTTCTAATCGCCTAGTTAGTTTTTCTCTTCTTTTCTGATTGTCTTCTTTTCTTTGGATACACTATACCCATTAGGTTTGAAGCGTTTTGTATGGGCTGGATACCTTGATTGGATCTATGATGTAGATATGGAGGGGGGCTGGGGATTACTAGATGGCAAGGTACTCTTGTGATATAAGTGGCTACAATGAAATCTTTGCACATGGCCGCTTTACGTCTCGCTATTCACTACATTCGATGCATGTACACAATTGAGTCTTGACAGATAGGCAGTTCCTAAGTCGATCTATGCTCCTACCTTCAACCAACAGTATAGGCCTCAGCACCTTTACCAAACAGCAAATGTGGCTTTCTTTGCGCCAAATCCAACACCGTCTGCGCAAAGACCGAATTTGCCCACGCAAACCAACTCCTTGTGTATGACTTTCCAGACTGTACATTCACACTCTCGTGTATGAGTCCCAATGGACTCACTTTCTTGACCGCAGCAAGACACTTCATAATCTCGTCATCATCATCTGAACTCATAGCTTGGACGAGGACAGCCATAGGCCAAGCGTTTCGCACGCCGACGTGGGGACCGCCGATGCCAGCAAAGTCGGAGCCGGTGAGGTAATAAGGATTACCGTTCTTCTCCAGTATCATCTTGCGCGTGTTCTTGTAGATCTTGTTGTTTGTGTCTGTGAAGCCGAGCAGAGGTAAAGCGAGTAAAGAGGGCAGGTTAGCGTCATCCATCAAGATGGAGGACCCATAGCCATCGACTTCGAATGCAAAGACCTCGCCGTATTTCTTGTGTGTCACAACGCCGTGTTCCCAGATGCCCTTTTGGATTGTCTCGCCCCACGTCTCCACTTCAGTGGCTATGTGTTTCTTGCCCGCTTTCTTGAGAATGGCGGCTGTGCGGAGGAGTTCGACGGCCATCATGGCGTTGGCGGGGATGAAGAACCCGAGGATTGTTGCATCGTCGCTGGGGCGGAATGCAGAGCGGACGAGCCCTGTGCCGCCGTTGAGAGGGTTACCGAGACCGCTTAGGCTAAGGGTTTCTGTGCCGATGTTGGTCTGGCGCTGCCATGTGTACTCGTTGCCCTGGTATGCGCCTGTCTTCTCGTTGAAGGTGGGCTTCGACTGCTCCTTGAGCACACCGAGAAGTGTATCGAGAGCGAGGAGCCAACGAGCGTTGATGAACTCCGTGGAGTCGGTGTGGTTGTGGAATTGGTTCGATAAGGAGAGGAAGTGGGCGAGAGAGTCGAGTTCGTACTTACATTCAAAGACGAATGACTCCTCGTAGTTTGGATGTACTTTATCGCCATCGCCTTGGAAGGTTGGGTTGAGGCCACTCGGTGGAGGCGGTTGGAAGGCGTTGCAGTATGGTGATCCGATGACATACTCTGCCTGTGTGTTGATGGCTCCCAAAATGAGCTGGTGTATCTCCTTGTCTTTCTTGGCTAGCAGCTGGTATTGTGCTAGCTGGTTCGTAGAGTCGCGTAGCCATTCAGCGTTGATGTCTCCCGTAACGATGAAACTCTGTGCTCCCTTCCAAGCTGTTGGATCCCAACTTCGCTTTGACGTCTTATGCTTGACAGTATCACCGACATGCCAGCGTACGGTAGTGTCTAGTGTGTTGGGGAACGCGTTTTCAAAGAGACGAGCGAGGTCCTTGTCGACCATCTTCTCGTTCATGTCATCGATGACCTTTTCGACTAGAGGCGATTCGAAGGTTCGGCAATATTTTGACGGCCGTTGGAAGGGTAGTTCCATGGGGCCGGTGCTATACGGCGGACTGTCAGACGAATTAGTACAAGCTCTTTTCGATGTATATATTGGCATACTGTGGTCGCATCGCATAGTTCTTGTAGTCTGGACAGGCTGCTCGATATTTAAGCGGATCGATGGGAGGGCGCATAGGTTCTTGCTCCTTAACATTGTTTAGTCCAGCGGACACTGATGAGACGGTAAGAAGAGCCCCTAAGGACAGCGAAGCTAATGACTGCTTCATATTAGGTCGAGACGGTCCAAGCGACACCTTGAGGACTCGAAGCTTTCGCGAGAACAGCCAGATTCAGTTGCGCAATGGCTATCGGTAATCGAGGAATGCAGGAATGGACGGGGCGCAGAGGAAAGGGCGTTCAGCTGAAGACGTTGAACATGACGTGAAACAAGAAAGACAAAGCACCCGAGTCATCAAAAGCGAAATGAACAGATGACGGGCTTCAATTGAGGTATAGATTGACGAGCTTCCGACTGACCAGGGAGCTTTCATGGGGAAGGCACCCCACCAGCTCCGCCAATGAGCTCGTGTTAAGTCCGCAGGGCCCAAGCTTCGCTGCGTCGCGCTTCCCAGTTCCTCGACTGATCGCGTCTCTATTCTTCACGCCTATCGCCTGCTCACTGCAACCTTGACGACTACGTGACTATCCCTTGGTTTCTCAAGCGCTATTGTATTGCGCACTCACATTCGAATGTGCAGACTGATCTCCTCACCCAGCTCATAGGAATATCTACACTTCAGCGCATTCAGTCCTTGAACAGCTTCGGCGTCTCCCCACATCACTATATCCACCATGATCTCTCTACCAGGTCTCAACCTGTCCTCGCAGCCGACCGAAGCGCAAAATGCCCCCACCTCGACAGCCACACGAACCCAAGACCTCGCTGCCAACACCGAATACCGCTTCGAGGTAGCCTTCTCGCGGACACTCACGGTGAAGCTGCAATCGGGCACCGCAGAGTTTTTCGGCACCGAGCTGGCTCCGTCTACCGTATACACATTCCAGGGCACAAAGGGTGCTATCTTCACATGGCATGGCTGCAAGCTCGACATCGGCGGAGAGGTTGAGTCAGACTACATCGCGGAAGAGACGCCCATGATGAGTTGTGCGAACCTACACTTCGCGCTGGAGAACCTGCGCGACAGGAGTATTGCCAGTGGCAGCGTCGAAATGGGACCCAGAATACTTGTCGTGGGTCCTGAGAACTCAGGCAAAACGTCACTTGTCAAGACTCTGACCTCCTACGCGGTCAAGACCAGCCGGCAGCCTATGGTCGTGAACCTCGACCCGCGCCAGGGTATGCTCAGTGTGCCGGGCTCTTTTTCAGCAGCTGTATACTCGTCCATCGTGGATATTGAAGAAGGCTGGGGCAGCAGTCCAATCTCAGGGCCCAGCCCCATTCCAGTGAAGATGCCGCTGGTATACCACTACGGTCTCAAGGACCCAGAGGAGGGCAGGGTGTTCAAGCCGTTGGTAACGCGCATGGCACTTGCTGTCACAAGTAGATTGGAGGAGGACACGCTCAGCAAGCAGGCTGGCTTCATCATTGATAGCTCAGGCGCCATCAGCCAAGGGAGAAATGGCGTCTACGACAACATAGAACATATTGTTTCTGAGTTCTCTGGTGCGTGTGATGTCTTGCATACTACTTCAGCCTTTCCCCTCCCAACATCGCCCATGTACATTCATGCACCCAAGTTCCAATATCTATTTCCCGAGAGGATTGGCAATCAAACGTACGTACAGAATATCAGATCATCATACTGACAGCCCATTACAGTCAACGTCGTCATAACCCTCGGCTCCGAACGCCTCTACTCTGACCTCTCCCGCAAATTCGCAGCCCGCACCGGCGGCGACCCCTCCGAAACCGTATCCGTAGTCCGCCTTGACAAGTCCGGCGGCTGCGTCGATCGAAGCGAAGAATACATGAAGGCCCTCCGCCACGCCCAAATCAAAGACTACTTCTTCGGCAAAGGCGACGAGACACTGGCTCCCAGCAGCCAGATGGCCGACGCCGCCGACCTAAACATCTTCCGTGTCGTCGAAGGAGAAGGAAACGGTGGAGTAGACGAGTACGGTATGACGGTCGAGCGGCAGATATTCGAGAAGGTCACACCGTCTGAGGCGCTTCAGAACCAGTTGCTGGCTATCACAACAGCGAGCCCCAACGATCCGCAGAGCGTGATTCGGGACAGCAGTATCAGGGGGTATATCTATGTCGCGGATGTAGACGAGGCGAAGAAGAAGGTTAGGCTGCTCAGTCCTCTACCGGGACAGACGCCCGGCAATGCCATGATCCTGGGTAGTTGGCCGGAACCTGTGGAGGGACTGCTTAACTAGCAATGGGGAGGCAGGATGATGGGGCGGTAAAAACATTGCACAGGCCTGATATACTGCAAACACGTAGCTCAAAGCACATTCTTAGACTACAAATACTTTTGGCGACTTAACATGGTTTTGCTCGATATCTTCGATTGCTTATAACTGTCTTGGATGTTCCGACCTCCACGATAATATCTGACAAATGAAGTGGAGGGTGAGAAGGGAATTACTTGAGCCGACATTGATTGTGAGGAAGCTTATTGTCCATGAATTCTATTTCCAAACACTACGCCCGTCCGGAAAGTGAACATGCTAGCTACTCTAGCGGAGTTGCAACGTAACTCACTATATGCATTCCTAAGGGACAGTTTGGACAACAGATACAACTCCCGTCCTACGGTGGACGTGGCTCGAAAGCCAGAAATCCCGGATGAAGATCAGACACCGACTGTTCTACTTGCGCAGGCGCGGCTCCAGCTTGTTCTATTGGGACATGGTCATATCTTGAAAATGACATTTCTAACCAGAACTTGATGGCTGATGGTAGGACCTGCGCGTCTTAGGCGGCTGTAGGGGGCGGTCAGGTCGAAAAACGTCATCGCGCCACTCCACTTCTTTCCACCCGTCGATCTTCTCGCGCCTAGCTACCACTTTCTTCCACGCCCAATTCATCGCAATATCCTGGAAGTCTTCCCCTAATATGGGGCGATATTGAAATGTGTCAATGGGGGTCCTTAACTTTGCCAAAACACTTGCAACTAATAGCATTGAGTGCAGGAAAGGGCTATCTTCCTGGCCTGACGCACCAATCGCAAAGCGCTTGATCTGCTCCCGGGTAAGCGGCGTATGATCGGACGCAAGCGACGAAATGGGATAGATGCAGAACGAAGGCAAGTTGTTGGCAAGCTTGCGAACACCGGAGAGAATAACAAGCGGAGACTGGAGCCAACCACCTGATGGCATTGGAAGGCCGATGCGCACGTGTGCCGTATCCCCTATCTTACTGATAGTTGGAAGATCAAAGTTGTGGATGTCAAACTCCTTCTTGAACCATGGGACGTAGACCTTGAGCCACTCATGCTCGAATTCGCCATAGACAGTCTTGCATGAAAGCAGGAGACCGTAATAGCTGTATAGATCGTGCGAAGACGGAAAGCGCTGGGCGACGAAGATTTCTTTCATATGCTCAAGCAGCCAAAGAGGATATTTGGAGTCGGGTCTGTGTGTAGGCCAAACCATTGCAGAGATGGAGATGATAATTTCGGAGTAAATGCGGAGGCGAAGTTCGACTGGAAGATCCGTGAAACCAGTCGTTGTCTTTGAGGAAGCCATGTTTGGCGTTAAGAATGTGGTAGTGTTCGTGTCGAATTGAGGCCAGCAGTGAGTTCAGGGTAGAGCGTGAGCTGAGTGGAGTTCGTGAGTACGTGTGCTCTTCCGAATGTACGAGGGCTGGATTTATAGAAGTAGGCGTATTGGGCACGGTCGCCGTGAATACCGGGAGGCGCACCCGAGGCGCATACTCGACACTGACAGAGAGACCCAAAACCTCGAAAGCTTGCTTGTAGTTATCAATACTCGGGGATTTCGACAGGCGGGTGAGTGTCATTTACATTACTACATTTCCTCATCCCTCTCTTGCATCTCCTCTCTTTCAATCACCTCTGCCATCCGTTCCCTAACACTTTCGTCTTTATCCCAGACCTTCCATCCCATGTGTGGTTTAATCTCGTTAGGTTTCCTGTCCGGAGGAGGCATCTTCGAAAACGGACACTCGGGCTCGTCTTCGTCATACAAAAAGGCATCAACCTCGTCATCCACAACCTGTGAGTACTGACCGGACAGGGGTGCTGCGACCCTAAAACCCGGCTTACTGACATCCTTCGTGTCGCGGTAATGCTTCCTGAGCTTATGGAAAAGCCAAGGGAATCCATACTGCGGTGGTATGCGCTGGAAACAATGATACAAAGTGACGTGCTGTAAGTTTACCGATGACGTGAAGAGATCGAGCAAGTCCTGTGGGGATAGCTTGATGTTTCGCAAGGTGAGTGTTTTCAACTGTGGTCTCAACGCCTCTGGGATAGGATTAAACTGCAGAAACCGGCGCAGAGTCCGAGCTGATCTCTTATCGTTGAGACTAAGGTCGAGATGCTCGAGGTATCGTAATTCCGCTAATAAAGACTGGAGATTGGTCAAGCTCTCTTCGTCGTACAAATAATCATTCGAAGGGGTGACTGTCAATTTGACGTGTTTAAGAGGTGTTCTCTGAAACATTTGCTTGGTGATTTGGTAGTTGTGTGAAGCAGCTTTGGCAATAAAGCAGTGGTGGTACTGTCTCGCTTGGTGTTCTGATTCAACGATGAACTTTTCTATCCGCGGATTTGGCATGGCGAGGATCGCATCAACTACGACGCCATAGCCTCTGGGTAACGATTCTCCATTATCTTTCGGGTTGGCGGCACGTGAGGACCACTGATCGTATATACGCTCTGCCTCTTGAGGGGGTCGTAGCCATGGCCAGATAGTTGGTTTGCGGAAGCCCATAGGCAGTGAACGATGATAGGGCGTGTTGTACCGAGGCGATACATTCCATGCAGGCCATACGTCGATCGTTGTAGTGATCCTTTTTACGCTTGGAAAGCTAGCTAGTGCTTCATGTAATGCAGCTGCATCGACCTGCTGTTCCACAAGTTCCTGTTCTTGACGATACAACTCCTGGTATAGCGCATAGCTGTCCTCAATGCTCATCATAGTGGCATTTCTGGCCAGAACGTCTCTTGAGAAGTGGTCGTCGTATCGCAAGAGGATACCCTTTGCGATCTCGGTCAGCCGACCATCCTCGATTAGGTCTGCCACCGATAATGATCGATGCTCGGGGTTTTCGTCGCCATAAAGCTCCATGGCCTCCTCGAGTCGGCTTTCAATTGCCCTGGTAACCTCTCTTTCGTCGGCGAGAACAGCTTGGCGGAATTCATCCAAAGTTGAGTACTCATTGAGCAAGGCATCATCCCAGACAATCTCGAGTACACGGTTTTTGTACGTCGGGTGAGCCATGATCTGATGCAGATAGTCCAGATTAGCTCGATTAGGCGAGATATAGACGCGATCTATACGCAGATACACGCTGGCCGCCAAATGCTTGCTCGTGAGCCGCAGTCGCTTGATGTCGAGCTTTGAGATGTGCTGGCAGACGATTTCGAGAAGTTCCGATGGCAAGTCCGTGATGGTCTTCCTGTTCTGGGCCCCGCTCCCGAAGGCCTCGGGGAATTCGTCGCCAAACAGGCCTTCCATGAAGCTCACGGACGGAACAATGCTCGCACTCAATGCCGAAACAGTGGAAACCCTGCGCTTTGAGACGCCAGCCCGAATAGACAAGCTAGGCTTCCGGCGTCGGGTCTTGGCAGGCCTTATCTGGAGGTTTGTGAACATCGCATTGGTATGTATATATGATTTGATGGACGCGGTTTCCAGATAGTAAACACAGGCGGGTGCCGGGAGCTGGTTTGTTGTGGCGGTATGTAGGCCTCCTGCTAGGCTATGTTGCACGTACAACGTTTGAGCGTAGGCTGCGTATGTAGGCGTCTGGAATCGTGTGTAAAGAAACAAATATGTTTAGATGAGGTAGCGAAACTGATTAGTTGATGTTCAAAATACGGTGTCGAAGGACAAAGGTTCATGCTAAGGGTGCTGAAACGCCAGCGCTTGCAGCGCTACCAATGCAAGGCTACTTGCTACACCATTTGAGGACAGCTGAGCGGCCATCATAGGCATATATCGTGTCGCACATGTGACACTGCTAGATGCGATAAATGAACACCCAATGAGTCGCATACATGAGACGCGTTCATAGACGGTACGGAAGGACAGTCAATTGTGATCGCGGAAGCCGCAACGTGCCCGCGTGCCTTCGCTTACAGCGTGGTGGAGAGCTGCCCGCAGTAGGGTGGGTCCGCCCAAGTCAACGTCAAACCTTTACAAACCACATCACAGACAGCTTCGAGGACATGACATGTAACCAGGTCTTCTCATTGTAAAAAGTGCTTTCCAGCAACCTCAAAGAGTGCCCGAGAGCATACATAAGCGGGTACTGCCCTTCAGCAAGTACCCCACGAACGGTTCCACGACGCATCCACCGCTCGATACCCGCAACCAGTAAACCGCCTACCTAGGCAGGCCTACAGTATACCAGACACGCCATCGCGGCAGATGCGCTCGCTCTTCCCATATCGATATGAAGATTGACCAGCACCCGAGTTATCCGTACCCCGCACATACCAGCGCCGAAGCACGGAAGTATGACTGAGGCTGTGTGTAGAAGTCGACGTCAGGGAAGGGGGCGAGTCGTTCATCTAGGAACCCTCCTCGCCTTCGGCCTTGTTCTTCTTCTTCTTCTTGCTTGAGCCGAAGTCATTCTTTACTGTAGGAACGGCCGACTGGTGAACGATGAAGCGGGTGTAGCACTCTTCTGGGTCCCACTCAAAGCCCATGAGGTATGGCTTCTCGAACTCGTCGTCTGCCTATAGGAGGGTTAGATATGCTTTGGCACCAAGATCAAAGTACGCGGTATAGAGGAACAGCGACAACGATGCTCGATGGTAAGATCCAATGACAAGGGACACTTACGCGCTTCTTGAACTGCTTGTGGATGGCATCTAGTGCGTCCTTGATGGTTACACCCTTCATGTTCCGTGCGGTAACTTCTAATCCTAGCGGGAAGTGTAGGGCGATGGACTTGAGCTTGGGCTCGGTGAGTGGCATCTTCAAGACTGACGGGTCTTCGACGGTGCTCGGCGACTTGTTGAGCTTCCTGGAAGTACTGCATTAGCACGGTCAAGATATTGGGGCTGCCGGAGCTATCCGGACGACGACGAGATGGTCTGCATCATGGTCGGATGGCTCGCAACAATGCGATGAGGGGAATCACTTACCAGTTCAGCTTCTGGGTTTCGAGTGCGATCTCGATCTTCTTGCCTTCCTTCTCTGAGGTTCTGTCAGCCCCGCCCGCTACTCACGCACGACCCCTCATTTGGGCTATCGTCACAAGAGGTACTCACCTAGATCCTCGATGCGGTAGACATCAGCAGCCATGGAGCTGACTCTGCGGTGGCCCTTCTTAGCGGCGCCATCTTGGTGATCGGTCAAAGAGTCGACCTTCTGGAGCGTGTTTTCTGTCTCTGCGGCCATTGTGGTAGGATGCAGTTGCAGTCAAGCTACTGGAAGGTTGAAGGGGTTGTAGATGATGAAAGAGCTTGGGAAGCTGTAGAAGGGTTGCCTGGAGCTGTGGATGTGATGTGAGATACGAAAGCACAGTGGAGGCTGTGAGGAAGGAGAGGAAACGAGGGAGGGCGCAGCTTATGAGGGGCTCAGTCTCTCGCCGGCAGGCACAGGAGACGGTCACTTGATCGATCACCACATTGTGGTCCAATCCAATCGGCGTGAGACGTGAATGGTCGGGCCAATGCGGGGAAGGGGAGCATCACCCAGAATGCGGGGAAGGAGCAAACCAACGGTGGAGGCCTGCGTGTCCATCCAACATTGTTGGGCGAAAGAGCTCGAGATAGGGTGGAAGCTAGCAATTGAGCCTCGTTATTCGCACTTTGACCTTCCCAAGTATCTATTGCCGTTATGTTGTTGCTCCGGAACATCAGGCACGGTGGTGAGATGGATCGCGTGACCGACGTCATTGGCCGCTCGGCGCTGGACAAAGCGCGCATCGACGCGTATCATCTCAGCTCCGGGCCCTAATGCGGTCCGAGTGAATCAGAGATCCACTTGATTACTGCAAGGGCTCAAGGTCCACGCGGAGATGCATGTCAGCGTTCTACTGGACTGTCCACTTTCGCGAGATGATCTGGGCTGCCTAGGTACCTAGGTATCCATATGGACTTTGTAATTACTCACTTGGAAAAGCAATATAGATGCATGATGACTTCGCATTTGACACCGCAACATTGATTGATATATCGCTTGTTGGCTCCGACCGCTATTATCGATGGTATTGTATGATTTGCCTATGAATGCCCAACAATCCTAACGGGCTCGTATAACTCCTCGAGGTACTTCTCTTCCTCCTCAGTCAACTCCTTGCCCCTCGCTGCAAGCGCTTCATCCATCCTGTCTGTGCTGGAGAAGCCGATGATTGGACTTGCGACACGCTTGTTGATCCATGCGAGGGCAACGTGGCTCATTTTCCAGTCATGCTTCTTCGCGATCTCTTCAACGCGAGCAATGATCTTCTTGTCAAGTTCAGTGTTACCAGAGGTTTGATTACCGGCCTTCTGTTCGCCTTCTGAGCGAGTAGTCGAGCCGAATGCAGAGGGAGGGCGAGCGAGATGGCCCCGGCAAAGAGGTGCCCACTGTCAAGCTGTTAGCAAACGATTGACTTTGTAGTTGAAAGGGAAGCATACCGGGATCAGACCAACACCAGTGTCATTGCAGAATCGGTTCATCTCACGCTCTTCCTCGCGGTAAAGTAGGTTGTAGTGGTTCTGCATGCTGATGAACTTCGTCCAGCCGTTCTTTTCGGCAGTGAACTGCATTTGCGCAAACTGCACTGCCCACATAGAGCTGGCACCGATGTATCGAACTTTCCCACTCTTGACCAGATCATGCAGCGCTTCCATCGTCTCCTCCAGAGGCGTGTTCGGGTCGAAGCGGTGGATCTGCAGGAGATCGATATAGTCCATGTCAAGACGCTTGAGCGACGCATTGACAGCGTTGAAGATGGCCTGCCGTGAAAGACCACCTTGGTTTACATAGTCTTTCAACTGAGGCAGCTCTTTGCCGTACTGGATGGTTCGCAGGCCGGGGTCCTCGCCAACGTAGCCAAAGCATTTGGTGAGAATCACGAGCTTATCGCGAGGTAGGTTGTACTTCTTGATTGCCTTGCCGACAAGTTCCTCAGAGACACCATTGGAGTAGACGTTGGCTTTGTAAGCTGTCAGTAGGTGTTGCAAAGTCGTGGCTGCTCTATCAGTCTTACCGGTGTCCCAAGTCGTCAGACCGCGATCGTATGCAGCCTTTAGCAGCGGTAGCGACTCTTCCTCTTCGATGACCCAGGGCTGCCATTTGGAACTTCCAATGCTCATAGCACCCAAGATGGGTACCGAGACCTTGAGACCGCTCTTTCCCAAGCGCTTATATTCAGCCTTGGACTCCTTGAGGAGCCCTTCAATATCGAGCTTGTCCGCCATGGTCGCAAATCAGTAGATCGGTTACGGATTGGTGTTTAGTGGGGTCCTTGATGTTTCGCAGGGCTGTGGTGGGACAAGCAACTGAGGTGTGAATAAACCAACAGCTGTATGGGCGACACGGTGCTCATATATTTCGCCATGACGGCACTTTCGCCGTGCCTGCACCACCTGCTTTCCAATCGAGGTTACAATGAGCTGTCATTGTCGGGCTTTGCGGCGATAGCCTCATCATTGTCCCGGTGGTAGATATTACAACGAACAACGATGCGGGGTTCAGGCACGACGAGCCGCCATGGATACGTCATGTGGAAATCCTACGTCCGCGGATAGTCCAGCCGCCAAAAGAGGCAGGAGGCGTCTCTTTTTGCATGGGTCGAAAGATGGAACCGAATGATCATCAGATTCATGCTTACTCGTAATGTGATCTCATTCATAGTGTGCTAGGCTGGACTCCTCAGGCACGGACTCACACCATGCAACATCACCAAAGGCCAAGAAGCAGTCGCAGTTGTGTTGAAGTGAGTTTAGATCGTTCATGTCTCTTGGCAAGTACTGATCTTATTGACCTCTCATCACCTCACACTTCATCGTGAATGTGCCGGCGCGATTCCATCAAGTCATGGTGGTATTGTTTGAACATCGTTTTTGATCTTAGACCCCCAGGCGCCAACCGCATATGATGCAGAGAAGTTCATAGATGCTCATTGCCCGTAAAGAAACCCGTACTCCCCAGAACCGTTTACGCGTCCTCAACGATGTTGCCGCGCTCCGACACGTACAGACCGTCCAAGAACTTTCGGATATCCTTGTTGCGGACCTTGCAGATTTGCTGGATATCGGCGGCACCTTGGGAGACGTCCTCGAGCGACTGGGTGATGGTTAGCATTGCTTCAAGCCATGTTGCGCGGCGGTCCTTACGTTTCCGGACAGCTCAAGCTGATCCTTCTGGTTCTTTGATGCCTCAACCTCAACACCGGGCCTCATGACGACCCTTCGTACAAGCTTCTCGCCGATGAAGTTCCTGATCTCAACCTCCCAGCAGTCGGTCTCCTTGTTCTTGTCCAGGTTGACGTTGATGGGGAAACTGGACATGATGTTAGTCATGTTCAACGATGTGCAAAGGCCCGCCACGAGCATGAGCCAATCTGGCGCGCCCAGCGCTCTGGCATCAGCCTCTCGGAGAGCACTGAAAGTTGTGTCGGATAGAACATGCTCGGCGGCGGGCTCGGAAGAGATGTGCGATGGGTGCGACATACTGGGCATATACGTAACGCATCTTGTACTTGTAACCCTTGGTGACACCGATGATCAAGTTGTTCTACTCCAGTCAGCCCAGTCCTTCCTTCCTTGCCAGTATAGACTCGAGGGTGCGCGCGACGTACAATCAGGGTGCGGACAGTGCGGAGGGTGGCGACGCTCTTGCGGGAACCGTGGTGGAGCTCGATCTTGATGAGGTTCTTCTTGGGCTGTTCCAGTCTTAGCATATGCCCCCGATGCGATGTGTGTGTTCCAAACGTACGTGCGTGAAGCTGACCGCCAAGTGACCGAGAGACTTTGTGAGCTTGCCCTGTGGAGTGTAAGCATCGGTTCGAGAATCGTAGAGGCTGTTGCGGGCGGCTTACGCGAGGGCCTGTTGGATATGTCAGTGTTGTTTCTCTAGGGGTCCTCTACCATGCGCACTCACCCTCAACGAGAACATTTCTGTTCTTGATCTGGACCTTGACGCCCTCGGGGATCTCGAGCTCTTCCTCAGAGTGGCTGTTGCGCAAACGTCAGCATTGGATCCGGAATTTGATGTTTGTTGGCGGAGAAGTTCGGTATAGAGGCGTCCATTGACCGTTCGGAGGCAGGGAAAAACGTGCGATGCGGCGGGTTGGGAGTCGTGATCGAGGGATAGACGTACATGTACTTCATCTTGACGGTTGCTGCGGGTTAGCGGTGTTGTCGAGAAGCTGAGGTCGAATTGTCGAAATTGTGTGGGAGGCAGCGCGGACAAAACGATAGCCGAGCCACCGCTCTAGCCCGCTTTTGTGCGCACTAGTGCCGCCGTCTTCCTCGTCATGTCGAAGAACACCAACTTCCATCCCGACGAGTTGCGACTTTTGCTACTGCGATACCGGACTCGAAATGGCCGACGCAAATCCACACATTGCGCAGACGCTGCTGCATCGCGCATTTTCTCCCTCGACTGCAGAATCACACTACCACGAGCGCGTCATAAAGCGCCCTCTCCACGTTCGCGCAACCTCGCCTACGCCGTCTGCACGCGCAGTCCGCCGCCGCGCTCTCAACGAGCGCAACCAAGCCGCCAGGAAGCGCAGCAAGAACCAGCCTCGCCCGCTGTCCGCTGCGAAGAAGCGTGCGCTGTGCCTGAACGAGATACCCAAGGAGCAACAGAAGTATGCCATCTACGACGGATTACACAATTTGTGGGTGGGATACATGCGGGAGGTGCTAGGCCTGAACGACGCTGCGAGGAATGTGCTTGTCACGCCAAACGCAAGTGGGCAACTGCTTGCGACGGCCGACATGCACGGTGCGCTTGTGCGTGTGGTGAGAAGCCGCTGCGTGAGCCGTGTAGGCTTGGAGGGTATCATCGTCCGTGACACGAGGTTCACATTCGAGATCATCACGAAGAACAACGCTGTGAAATGTAAGTCCTGTAGGCTAGACTCAGGTAAGTGGTAAGTATCTGACAATCTCAGCTATACCCAAGGAACACACTATCATCCGCTTTGAGTTGCCGCTTCCAGTCGAAGAAGGAAAGGAGCCCATGAAGCCACTGGTCTTTGAGCTCAACGCCGAACAATTTCAGACAAGAGCGGCTGATCGCGCGAACAAGAAGTTCAGGATGCATTACCAGCCTGACATATGAAGGGAGCACATAACCATCTGATGAACATTCCGATACAAACCCAGAGACGAGACCGAGGACCTACGACTCCTTGGAATTCATGAGTCGACTAACAGCATTACCGGCCATGCAGCCATTTCAGTATGCGGCTCAGAGAACAGCCAACAAGCGGCCTGCACCAGCAATGCATGTCGTTGTGCGAGATGTGCTTCGAAACGAAGGAGACGCTGGATGGCAAGAGGACTGAGAAGGAAGCACACGTCTATCAACACAGACATGGTGGAGAGCAGCAAGGCGAGAGACACAGTCAAATAAGACATTCAATTATGTCATGGAGTATGGTATCATCCCGATGGCGCTTCAAAACGCCTCCCGCTAAATGCAATGGTATCATGAACAAACAACCTCTTCATCCGCGTTTCAAAATCTTACACGTTCGTCGCGACCCTTCCAGACTGGAAGTCCTCGGGCTTGAAATCTCTCAGCTCGGTCTCCCGTCCACTACTACCACCGTTCATCGAACTGATCTCATCCTTCTCTTTAACAGCCCTGCCCTTGTCCAGTCTACACCCTGTATAGCTCCTCGGCAGATAACGACCAGGATGCCACACAGCGAACACGACTAGTACAGCAAGTATGGGCGCGGCATCGAAGACCCAGAAGCACCATTCGTGACTCTGGAGATATGCTAGCCCGTAGTTGCGATCGTGTGGTATCTCGATGGTTCGATAGAATGCCCGGCAGGCGATAAGGACGGAGGAGAGATTGATGGTATACCCCAGTTTCCGCCAAAGGTGCAAATCTCCAAGGTCGTGTGCAGCCCAATGCCGGCTAATGTAGAAGTACCGCATGCTGATGATGGAGAAGCTGAGGAAACACAGCAGTTGCATCACCAGACCCATGATGAGGATGATCCGACCAGGCAGCGCTTTCCGTTCCGAAGCAGCAATGGTCCGGTTTCCTTGCGTGTCTTCATCATACTGCCGACTAATCTGACTCGCGCCGACGAGTTGGACGAGGAAACTGAGGAGGTCGAAACACACAAAGTTGGCTGTAATCCACCTAGGGAAGCACCACAGCGTTTTGAAGTTGAGCGCGTGGGTTGGGCAGGAAAACCATACTACACGACTGAATGCCGTGTAGCATGCTGCAGCCAGGAAGCTGGGTGCGAGCAAGATCATGAGCCATGAGGCGAGGAAGGGTGACTCTCTATGCTCATCGTAGGCAGATACTAGGCGGCATATGAAGCCCAGATCGAGCATGATAATGGCGATAATGGCGGCCCAGAAGAAGTACGCCTTGTGGCGGACATACTGGTAGATGGAGTATGTGGATAGTAACAGGACGACAATTGCGCCTGTTATAGCCAGGGGGTAAGAAGGGTCGTAGATGTAAGGGTTCAGGAAATTTTGGCCTGCGATGTGGTCAGCGACGATGTTGCGTTGCTGAGTAGTAGCAGACGGGGACGAACATACCAACTTGAGCCCGATTTGGCAACCCCATACTCGATCGCGCGTCTAAGATCGCGCTCACGACGTGCATCTTAGCAGACATATCCCGCTCTCCGCACAGGTCCACCTGTTTTAATCCCCGAGCGTAGTCGTTCGTCGATCACGGCAGCCCCAGTAGTCGTAATGGTCGCTCTTTCGCAAATGCCGATGGCGCGTCGCTCATGTCCCAGCCGCGGTCGCAGTGATGGTAGCGCCACAACGTCGTGGTACAGCAACCTCGTCGCAAAAGGGCATGCTCGAACACCAGGGAAAAGAGCCAGCGGAGAAGCGACCCAGATAACAAAAGGCGGCGGTAACGCACGTTTTACCCAAGCCACGCCCGCCTGCGTTCTCCGCTTGCTAAGAGCACTCAAGGCCTTGGCGGTCCCTGGCCCTTTCCACTCCGCACGCACTGCGCGTCTCCTTTCCTCCAGCTCCCACGTCCCCAGTCCGTCTCACATGTGCTGGCTAGGTAGGGCCGGGTAACCCGCGACACTTGCGTCTTTAATGCGAGACGGGAGACGGATAAGGCGGGTATACACACCATGCAACGCGGTGCCGCGCGCACTACTGCTACCGACCCAGGCATCTCTCCCTTTGATATTAACTCGGTACACACACGTAGTCATACCTCGCTCTTTCACGGTTGCACCCTCGAACGAAAGGCCCGGGTGCAAGCACACGCGTCAGGAATTACCACCTGATCCGCCGGCGTGGCCTTGGCAAACCAACGAAAGCCATGGCGTGTGTCGCTGCCAAGGTGTTGGCAATGAGGCCGCTCGCCGAAGTAGCCGCACGCCGGGACTTCGCGTCTTACCAGACCCTACGGCGTGGTGTTGAGGCGTCGTCCAAGTGTCTTTGTGGTGTGTAGTCGTCGCGGCCAAGTAATATCCCGATGCAAACGTGAGCCGTGGCATTTCTTCGTTGCGCGATATTATCGGAGGATCGTTCGGCCTTGGGCTACGTGCCTGGTTTCTGTGTTGTGGTGTTGTCCTGGCTAAAGGCCAGCGAGTACGTTCTTGTGAAACTGAGGCGTCCAGGTGTGGCGCAGGCACGCCAAACATGGGGACAGGCGCGTCCCTGTGGCCTGCGCAAACGCAGAATGCACTACCTTTCGCGATGAACGCCACTTGTTTAGGATCGAGAAAGTTCTAGGCGTGTAGCCTAAGTTTATTGAGATGCACTGTATCTTGTCACCGATTTCACGATAGATTACGTATTATGAGGGAACCTTGGCAAAACTGGAGAAACATCGTGAATTTCCTCCTTGAGATCTTAGTTTTCGAGCCAAACCTTGAATCACCCTAAGCAGCTGGGTACAAGACCCGACTAAAGTATCTCGAACTACCGTTTCATCACATCATCTCCACGAGAATTTATCGGCTTCCCCTCGCCTACCCGTCTACTCATCGTCAAACTCGTCGCCGGAAGCGATCTTATCCGCACTCTCCTTGTTCGAGCCATCAATCTCAGCCTCATCCTCGTCATCATCGAGACCCATGCCCTTCTTCAACCAGCGCACTTCCTTGGGCTTCCGCTCCATCCAGAGCTCGTTCGGGATCCAGGTATAGAAGCTGCACATGGTCTCCTTGATGTCGTCGAGAATGGTCATGCCGCCGGTGAGGTGCATGATGTTGGCGTCCATCTTCAGACCCACGAAACAGTCCTTGATGATGTCTTCCTCGATCCAGAATTCGTACTCTTTACCGTCGCCAGCTTTGCGCGGCTTGCCGTTGGGATACTTGTTGTTGTCCTTGGGTAGGTCCCACTCATCACAGTCATCCGTGTACCAGGCCTTGCACAGGAGCTTGCCGAGAGGTTCAAGCTGGCCGAGCTTATGTTTGAAGAGCTTGCTCTGCTCTGCATATGCGGACTTCGTGTCGTCGTCAGGGAGTTGAACGGCGGTGACCTCAAGATAGGCAGTCTCTTTGCTGAGAACCTGCAGATCTCCAGACTCGAACATATCGTACTGCGCATCCGAGCCCAGAACCGCGATGCCAGTACCGAACTTGACCCTAGCCTCTTCCTTCCGGATACCGATCTCGGAAACAGTCAGGCCTTCCTTCTTGAGGTCCTCAGCCCACGACTTGTCGCCAGTATATATGTCGGCCTGAGCGCCACCGAAGACAACGCTAGCGGACTTGTTGAAGTCTCCGGGTAGAGCAAGACCTACGGAGTTGACCTTGGGAAGCTCCCGCTCGGCCTGGTCACAGATTTGGAGCGCAGTGGCAAGCTGATCGTCGAATTCGGGGCAGACACGGTGAAAGCGAAGATATCTGAAGAAAGAGCGGGGCACCTGACAAGCGTTCTTGATGGCGTGCGAAGCATAGCCGTAGTGGGCAGGGTACCAAGATGATCTGTCATAGTCAACATCGCGTCAGGCAAGGTTGGGGTGGTAGGCTTACAGGAAAGCTTTGCAGACAGCTACAAAGTCAACAACCCACCGCTTCTCATCGGACCGGTCCCAGGGTACGTTGTGGATGGCGAGGGCCCTCGCAATCTCCTCAGCACCCATCTCCTTCATGTCGTGCTTGGAGATTCCTTGGTACTGGCGAGGACCGGACTCTACTCCACCAAAGCGCATGAGCTTGTTGAAGACATGTGCGTACATCTCATGCATGCGACGCTTTTGCTTGAAGCGCTGGATGGCAATCTCGATGCGCTCAACGAACGACTTGTCTGGAGCGTACATTTCCTCTTCCTCGGCGGCTTCGTCAGGAGTGAGAGTAGGCTCCATGTACGCCTTTTCAAATCCGGTAGCCTTCATCATGTTCTTGGACACTCCTTCAGGGTGCTTGATCTTGGCCTGAGGGAGTAGTGGTACTGGGTACTGGGCGGGCTGCTGAGCTTTGGCCTTCCGTGATCCTGGGGCATAGGCGATGTCGTTATCGTCGTCGGCATCGAAGTAATCTGGATCCAGGATGCACTTCCCGGTTAGAGGAACCTTGCGCTTGATGGTCTTTCCGTCAGCAGAGACTTCCAAGAAGGGGCTCAGTCGAAGAGCCGCAGAAACTAGGGACTTGGGCTTGTATTTTCGCATCTTTTGAAAACCACAGATGCGACTGACGGAGACGGGGATGTTCTCACGCCCGCCACAGCACTGTAACATGTGCTTGTCGGTAGGGAGATTTTCATCGGAAAAGTAGAACTCCACCTTGAAGAACGATTAGTTGATCTGAAAAAACTTACCGCGAGACTGGGGACTGGGAAACGTACTTGACGACGGATCTCTGCCCCATCTGGGTGGTCCAACACAGTGCTGGTGACTTGAGAAGTAGCAGTGATGTTGGTAAGGGCTCCATTGGGAGGTCCTGCGCCAACAGTAGGTGCTGTCATTGCGGTTGCCATGTTTGCTACTCTCTGTATTGAGGATTGGGGATATTAGGAGCGGACTGAAAAAGACTTGGGGTTATAGAGGGTGATATAGAGAGGATGGGCATGGGAAGTCGGCGCACTAGCGAGGCAGCGGCAAACGATACTTCGCGGGTGGTTGCGTTGGCCCTGGGGGTGAGAGAGCGCGACTACCTCATACTGGCGGCCGTAGCTTCCTAATCTGGACTTTTCGTTCATACAAACGCCTCATACGGTGAGTGCGTCGCCAACGATTTGATGGATGCGGGCAGCACCACGGTGAGATGCCGACTTTGTTAATTGCGACGCATGCGACATTTCCTTGGGCGTGCTGCTACGAGAGTTGAGCGAGATCATGTCTGCAATATAATTTCAGATTCTGCCCGGCAATAGAGTCGTGTCGAAGACGTACACTCATGCTACTAGATGATATTAAGCACACGAATAATGAATTTCATGATGACAGCATTGGCTGACTCGTGACGGAGGACCCTGAAACACCCGTGGGGCCAGCCCGCCATGTATCTTCCACCTAAACACTAACCACGAGTACAATCACACTGATATCCCGACCAAACCCTCCATACAGACCAAGAAACATGGCCTCCAAACAATATGACGCGTCGAAACTCGTAGCATATGGTAGTGCTGCTGCTGGCCAGTAAGTCTCCACTGGCTGCCTGTCAGCCTCGTGTACCAGACTAACACAACACCAGCGACGGCGTGCTCAGCGACCCATCCGGCGGCGTAGTAGTAAAACCATGCACCCTCGCTGAAATTGACTTCTACGAATCCCTCGCCGACCACCCAGACCTCGCGCGCCATCTCCCCACCTTCATGGGCCAGCTCTCCCTCTCAGCCGACCAGACCGCCGCTACCGAGTCCGTCGAAAGCGGCACCATACAAACGGCCGATGGTACAATCGAGCGCCTGCATGGCAAGAAGCTCGCGACCGATCTTCACATAGTACTAGAGAACATTACACACGGCTTCAAGAAGCCGAATGTTCTGGATCTGAAGCTTGGCGCGCAGTTGTGGGACGAGGCTGCGAAGCCGGAAAAGAGAGCGCGGCTAGATGCTGTGAGCAAAGAGACTACAAGCGGCAGCCTGGGTTTCCGGATAGCAGGCATGCGCACATACAAGGGAGCTGAGGTACCTGAGGTTCCGGAAGATCTCAAGGAGTATGTTGAGACGGATAAGGAGGGTGGCTATTGGGTGTACAACAAGATGTATGGACGCAAATTTAGCGCCGAGGATGTCAGCGAGGGCTTCACAGACTACATCTTCCCCGGCGCCAAGTCAGAAGCAGAGCTTGACCGGGCGAGGGAGGTGCTCGCTTACTTTTTGGGTGAGGTCAAGGACATTCAAGAGGTCTTCGAAAGCAAAGAGAGCAGGATGTACAGCGCAAGCATACTATTGGTTTATGAGGGTGATGTAGACGAGTATGCGAACACCAAGCAGAAGCTACGTTCCGCGCATCCCGAAGACGAGGATGAGGACGACGAGGAGACTGTGCCTAAGCTAGCCGAAGTCAAGATGATTGACTTTGCACATGCGAAGTGGACACCAGGGCAAGGGCCGGACGAGAACGCGCTGCAGGGTATGAGGAGCACGGCAAAGATATTGAAGGAGTTGTTGGACAAGGCGCAACACGATTAGTTCATCTGTTGGGAGCCCAGAATATAGACAATGTATACCCAGAAGCACAGCTTAATACTATTACCGAGTCTAACTATTCCCTAGTAGTGTATCATCCCAATTTCCGACTCCTCCCATCAGTGACTCAAAAAATGCTGCGTCTACACCTTGAAGCGCCCAATCGTCAGTTCCGGCGGCCCATCCTGGATAATATTGCGACGTGTCGAAGATATCAGCATGAAGTGTTAGTGGCATCGACTGAGAGTGCTGCGTGCCCGATTCTAGTATCAGCAGGTTGGATGACGGATTGCCGTTAATGTCCTGACCGAACGAAGCAATGTTGTCATCGACACCCACTGCGTTCAAATCAGAGGGCACATCAAGCATTACCGCACTAGAAGTCTGGGAACCTGGCCATTGCTTTGTGATGCCGTTCGCACCAATCTTGATGATCCCAAAATATGGAATTGAGAGCTGAAACTGTTCGCCGCAGCCCTCTTCAAGCCGATTAACCGTGCTCTCGCTGCTGTGACTGAATCCACGCGCGGCGTCGCTTTCAATCAGCAGCAAGTTGCGAAGTTGCTCAGCGCTCTTGCCCGTGAGAGGATCGTTCGTCTGCGTCTCGACGAGTTCCAGCTTTTCGACCAGTTGCTCCACCATCGCGCGATCACCGGGTCGCTGGTGGACTAGAAAACTTTGATCTTTCCAGCGTCTGCTGTCTATGTGCGCGATCAGTATTGTCATGCCCGCCATTAGCGCGAAGAAGTCGGCTGTATGACACGATTGGGTGGAGATGGGCCGGAAGTTGTGGAATGCGACGAATCTTGTGAGAATCTCTCTGGCCGCGTTGATGCAGGTGATCTTGGCGTACATGTGGAAATCAGATCCTGTGGCGCAGCGTATGAGGAAAGGCAGATGGAGGAGGTGAAGCAGATTGTACTGGTAGATCTGACTTCGAAGCCGCATTAGTTCCTCAAAAGTCTCTCTTGCATTTGGTTGGAGACCAGTAAAACTGGGTGCGAGCCAGTACTTGTCAGGAACTGATGCCGCGACGTTCTGAAGGTCGCGGTCTATTTTACGGGTAGCCTCGATATTCTGGTGTGGATCTCCTCGGTTGCGGTCAACGATACCACACGCTATGAGAGTATGTCCTCGATCTATCTGGCAGCTTACACTGGTCCCAGGACTGGAGTTCTCCACGCTCATCTTTTGGCCCCCATGAGGTAGGCCAAGCATCAGGCTAAGATAGCTGTCCATATGTACAATCCGAAACCAAAGGAACTTAGGATCCACCCTGTGCTTATTCTCCAGATATTTGACAGGCGGAGGGTTAGACGTATCCAGTCTCATCAGCTGCGCAAACACCAAGGCTCTTCTGAAGGCGATCCAAGCTCGCCGAAGGTTGCCGGCGTTGGATTGGAAGGTGGCTTCGTAAACGATACATTCTAGTCCTTCGATACAGCCTATCAGATGGTCTTCGGTGACGACCAAACGAACAACTGTTTCCACCAAGCGAGTGGCGAGGACGCCTGGATCCCCCGAGATGCAATCGCCCTTGTTGCACCGAAAGTACTGTAGCATAAGGGCAAGGATGAGCATATGCCTTGCGATCAGAACCGGAGGTGTACGTGAACTGTCAGGAATTGTAGCCAGATTGTCGGCAATGTCCAATGACTCGTCTTGTGAGGGGTCGATGGATGTCGTGAGACATTGGTAGCTGTACAAGGTTGCGTTGCGATCGGTCTTGCACAAGAGCTCCAGATCTTGTTGCGGTGGATACGCTCGACGTAGGGCGGATGATATGCTCTCGCCGTCTTCCGTTTGTAGAAGAGGTCGTTCCGGTGTCAGTGCGGCTGAGCTAGGTGTTGGAAGTTGCACGTGGCTGATTATTGCGTCGTCTCCTGGATTTTCTGATCGCGCAAGCAATGCTTCTGCCCTTTGCAAGCGTTGGAGAAGTTGCTCATATGAAATATCAGGAGGATTGGCGATGTTATTTGAGCCTCTACTAGGACGCAGCAGTGATGCTTCTTGACTGCTATCGTTGCCTCCAAAGAATTCCTCTTCCGGCTGAGTCTGGAGAACGCATGGCACCTTCCGACGGCGACATGCTACACATATGGTGTCAGACGTCGCATCAAATGTGCATTTGACCTTTCGCTTCTTGCAATGCCAGCAGCTTGTTGTTCCTTTCCGAAGTTTGCGCCGCTTGCTGTGAGGCTCGAAGTTGGTGGTGTCGGCGTCATTGACGGATGATCCCGGTGAGCCTTCCATGGCTGGTGACAGTAGCCTGAGTTGAGGGCGCGGTACCTCCTCTCGAGCAAAGCGACCAAACGTGTGGCACGCTTGGATCTAGTGAACTTGTTGCTGGCATCGTATCATAAACAGATGCGATGATGGTGACATAGGGAGAAGTTAGTAACTTAGGGGCGAAAGGGGAAGAGTGAGGGCAATCACCGAGACCTCGGCGGAAGGTTCTCCGCCGAACACTTCCTTCAGGCATCAGCAAGGCCACCAGCCAGTCACCACATCATGGAGTCGATGCGCAATGGACTCTCTTTGGTTCCGCCAGAAAGCGGCCGCGTTTGAATTACAATTCTATGGTTCCTTCTGCCATTACAAGATTAGACAACACACATGCCTCAAGCGTGTCAAGCCGATGCATGCCCAGGTGTCCGAGTGTCGCCAAAAATGAAACTTCCCTCTAGGTACAATCTACGTATCTCAAGCACAACTCTAGCAATAGCGTCGCATTGGTCGCAAGTGCGGGCAATCTGTCGTGTAGCACTACCCAAATAGAGCGCGTGTGATCTACGCAGCTCCAGCCTGCACCTTTTCCATGTTCAGCTTTTTGAAAGGTACCAATGCGGCAGCCACGGCAGCTGCGCCAGCCAAAGCTGTCGCAATAGCGAGCGCGACCTTGATGCCCGCCATATATGCGACCACTATGCCTGCTATGTCTTCCGCAGCAAAATTGTCCCGAAGTTGGGTCGCACCAGATCCAACTACTGCCAGGGGGTTCACGTTCGGTGCTGTGCTCGCAAGCGTGTTGATCATGCGGTTGACAAATCCAGACTGAGCCGCAGTCAACGAAAACGCACCGCCGATGGTTTGGAAAACTGCGATGTGTTAGTTAACTCCACATAAAAGAGCCGATTTGCATACAAAAAATCGTTGCCGTCGCTGAGGACATGTCCTCTGCCTTTGCATTGGCCTGACCAGTATTGATGGCCATCTGGAAGCCTAACCCGACTGCGATACCGTAAAAGGCCTGATAGCCAATCCATGTGCCCAGCCCAGTACCAATGTCGAATGTATACATCAGACCGGTAGCGATAGTCGCTAGAAAGGCACCGCCGATCATGAAAGGTGCAGCATAGCCTGTCTTTGAGACAACACCGCCACTGACGATGCTACCCAACACCATCGCGAGGACCAGTGGAAGGTTCAGCACACCCGAATTGATTGCGCTACGGTTGTCGACGCTCTGAAAATAGAGGGGTAGGTAGTACAGCAAGACGAGATATGATGATGAGAAGAAGAAGATGAAGGCAGATGGCTGCCATAGTGTTCGCTCGCGGAGAAGCCGGGGTGGAAGCATCGAACGCTCGCCGTTGAAGATCTCCCATGTAATGAAGGTAATTGCGATAACGACGAAGCCTACTAATAGGCCGATGACGTAGCTGCTGTTCCAGGGTCGCTTCTGGCCGCCATTTTCGAACGCTAAGATGTATGCAACGATGCCACCCATGACGAGCGCAATGCCGAGAGGATCCATTTGCAAGAGCTTTTCCTTCCAAGTCGCTTGGGTAATGACAGCTTGTGGTGGAGTCTTGTAAGTGAATAGGATCAGTGCTGCAGAGGCGCCGCCGATAGGAAGGTTGATGTAGAAGCTGTGCCATAATTAGCATGTGAGCGGAACAGTCATGAGAAAACATGAACCTACCACCATCGCCAGCTCACTGTGTCCGCGAAAACTCCTCCCAGAAGCGGACCGACGACGCTGGAAAGGCCATATACAGCACCAACAATCCCCATTAGAGCTGGTCGCCGTTTAGGCTCTGCCGCGAACGCCGCCATAGTGAACGCCCCAGTTACTACGCCGGCGGAGCCGACACCAGCGATTGCGCGGCCAACGACGAAAGTTATAGAATTTGGAGCGACGGCGCAGATCAAGCTTCCCATTTCAAAGACGAAGATGGCACCTAGGAAGGACCACTTGAGTGGGAAGTAGCGGTAGAACTTGCCAGACATGGACTGGAAACCGCCGAACGTCATGAAGTATGCGGAACCATACTAAGACATGTCAGTATTCAAGCACTCAAGTAGCCAGAGCGAGAGTGTGAAAGCTCACCCATGAAACCATGTTAAGACCTCCAAATTCGTCTGTGATCTTAGGAATGGCTGTTCCAAGGATTGTCATATCCAGGGCTGTAAGAAAGACTGCGCAGAGTATGGCAATCAATATGGGCACCAGCAGTATGCCACTCGGATATTCTTCTTTGATATCATCGTGCTTCTCGTCTTGTTCAGATTTGACATCTTCCTCGATGCCTTGGTTGTTCTGCTGCTGCGTCTTCTCCTCAGCGATGTTTTCTGGTTTCACGACGCCACCAGCCGATTGCGCTGTTGCATCGAATGCGATAGAGGTGTGGAAGTTGTGTTCGTTCATCGTGTGCATCTGGAGTCGGTACTAAGGACGATGTTGGCGGGAGTGTTAATGGGACAATTTGCAGCGGTAAAGGAGAGTGGAAGAAGTGCCACACATATACTGATGTACGGACGAATGCATGATTCGGTTCTTCGAGTAAAGCTCCGATTTCTTTGGCTGAGTAAATGCTCGTCGGAGGGCGAATGGAGGGCGAGCGCTTGGCACATGCTTCCGCCGAAGGTTTCGGCGGAAGCGATCTGCCGCCTACATTGACATAGAAACACGCAAAACAAGTAGCCTAACGTTAACGTAGGCTCTAGACCTATTTAGTCTTCTTTTCTTTTGTATAAGGTGCTTGTGTAAGACGGCCCTGCTAGTCGGATGCCGACGTCGGGAGCTTGTGAGGTCCCCAACACGACATGCGCAAAGAAGATCTTCTCATGGACGGCTTCCGACGTCCAATGTGCGTTGCTGTCCAAGGTTTGGTCTGTAATCTTGATGCACGTCCAAGAATCGTTTACCAGCGGAACTGAGTGGCGCGCACTGTTATCGCAGTAAGTAAACAGACACATGTTTTGTAAGAGAGGGAGTGCATTGCGGTTTGCTATTTGTGATTAGTCAGCGCTTCATTAAGATTCGGGATGCCACCTCTTCCTCTTCACACATCTACCCTTCCACGATACAATGTCGCCAGATCTCCGTTCAAAGATACTTCTTCCGCTTTACATATACCCCCATCCGGGTGCATGGGATCCTCTCTATACAGCGTAGTGTTTCCTTCACCGCTAACACGAAGTCTCACTGACGTCTCTCAGCATCGCCGCGGCGCCGGATGTTCAGTTTCTGGTAATCGTCAATCCAAACAGCGGACCGGGTGCTGCACCGTGGTGGCCGAATGAGGACTATCTCCGGGAGATACCGCGGCTAAATGCATTGCCGAACGTCACCACCCTGGGCTACGTGCGTACAACCTATTGCAAACGGCCTGTTCAAGACATCCTTGATGATATCGAATCATATGATAGAAGAGGTCGAGAGAACAGTGGGTATAGAGTGGACGGCATCTTCCTTGATGAAACAGTGAATTTGTACTCGGAGGAAGTCAAGAGCTACCTCGACACCGTTGATCGCAGAGCGCATGTCCTTGCTGGCGTCGCGGAGGAGAGAATGGCAAGTCTTCATTTATCCATGCTGGACGGATGAGAGTTACCCCAGCTGACTAGGCCAAGATCATTCATAATCCTGGCACAGCAGTCAGTACTGAGCTTGCGACTCCGGGACCAGAGGTCACAGTAGTCGTGGAAACAGCCTACAAGGAGTTCGTGACCGAAGAGTACCAAGAGTGGCTTGCTACTTCGCCGTACGAACGGTCTCGTACTGCGTATATGATACATTCAGTTCCGCAAAAAGATGTCGAACCGTTGACAAGAGCGCTGCGTGAACGGGCCGCGTACTTGTTTGTGACCAGTGCGTCTTGCGACTTCTACGGGCAGTTTGCCGAAAGCTGGCCTAAATTTGTCGCCTCGCTAGCACGGCCCTGAACGCAAAGGCCGTCAAATTTCTTGAGCGTTGGTTGCGATGGTCGGTGGCCGTGTTGCAAGAAGTCGCAGAAGGTGCACATCTATGCAAACCTTTCTCCATGAGCAGGCGTCGTTTCCTTGGACTGATTGACGGTCAGGAGCCGCTTGATGTCGCGATTGCTTGGGTTTCAGACAGTCTTATGACTACGCCTTTGAACCTAGTCCGCTAGTTCTCCGACCTTTCTCTTTCTTGCTCTCCTAAGGCTTCCTCTGTAGTAGCCCATATCCTACACCTGTTCCAAAGTCCGTCAGGCACGTCAAGTAGACGCTCGTCACATCCACTGACCCGAAAGCGTTTCTTCGCAAGAAGCTTCGCGGCAAACTTCCAGTCCCAGCAAGCAGTAGGGTCCAGAAGTGCTGCATGTGGAGTAGTAAGATGCTGCTCGATCCACTTGGTGTCCAGATCCCAAACATGCGGATGTAGACTTCCGTCCCGGAGGCTGTCTCGCCAGAAAGCGGAATCGAGTGGTATCTGCAGAGCCAGCATCTTTGAGGTACAATGTAGTGCTATGACAGACTGTATTGGAAGGTAGCTGCACACCACATCCAATAATTCCGTCGGCAGGCGCTCCAATCTTTGGGGTTCGCGCGTTGCTTTTGGCGTACACTTGGATTCGTCTCTACGACGCGGCGAAGTCTGCAATACTTTATGTACGAAAGAGGCGATATCTCCCACTTCGATGGGATCGGTGTAGAACTTCTGTGAATCATTAATGGCGAGCTTGAAGAACATATTGTGGTTACCTACATCATACTTTGCGCCCCACCATTCTAGCCTGCTCAGAGCCAATGCGCTCCTAGGTCCATAATCGCATGAAGAAGAACAAAGATCGAAAATGTCGTTTGATGTCTCGAGTGGCTCGTCTATACGGCATTTTCGTCGAATGAAACGCGCACTCAACAGTCGATACAGCAGTTTAAGAGCAGATGTCGGCACAGTATCCTTCCTTCTGGAGTCGAAGTGGTCGATGGCTCGACAACTGATCGCAATACACGATTCATGTAACGGAAACAAGGTTCGGTAATCCGGTGCATAACACAAA